TCCAAAATCTGATACCTACTGAAAACACCTTCTCTTTTACAGATAAAAGAAGCATGCATGCATGTGAGTGAGTGAGTGCACACACACACACACACACACACACACACACACACACACACAAAGACATTTGAAAACTCTATTTGATTGTCTCAAGAATCAACCTTTCTATTTACAGCAAGAACAGATAGAATTCCTTTGACATGCTGACCTGTTCATCAGTTTGATTTTGTGCATTTGAACTCTTCAAACCATTGCCTGAATGTCAGATTTATTTCTGTTGACAAGTAGGAAATCTACTGTATCGTCCAGATCCAACTTAAGATGCTGCAGATTCATTTGTCTTTTAACTCTTTTGCCAAATATTTTTCTGTGGCCACTCTGTCAGTCTCATTGTTCACTTTCAGAAACAAATGACTTAGGCTGACAACACTGAGATTTTGACGTGGACATCACGTTAGGGAATAGTATCTTCCCTTGCTCTTCCTGCAGCCACCTCCTGTTCCCATACATAAATGGCAGTCAGCAATGGTGAGAAACAAAGGCTCTCCCAGTCCCTGAATACAGTGACATTCATTCCGGGAGAAGCAGGGCCAGCTTTTTGAAAGCCGACTTCTTCAGCTCAACAATAACACACAATGAGTTATTGACTTGTTTATATACGGAGTCTTTTCAGTAACTACCTCTGACTCCCACAGTCTGGACAAATGATTGATTTCGTGGTTAGAAAAGGAGAGGGCTCCTGCGCTAAACTCTGTAGTGCAAACTACTTTCCCCCATTTGTTCTATAACTGAATGGGACCTTATTAAAATGCACTTTCCAAAAAAAATACCTGCAGCTGTCCTTTATAACCATGTTTTGTATATATAAATAAGTAATTTGTCCCAGTCTTTTGTATGTTACCAGACCATTGGGAAGATTGCCAATATATATGAAGGGTGGTTATCTTATTGTTTATGCTAAACTGTATTGCCTATATTGATCTGCATGTAAACTATGGCTCAAATAATGTAGTAGTGGATCAATATTTACTGATGAAAACCTTAGATGAATTCAGTCTTCTTACAGGGGCATGCTGATTTATTAAGAGTGTTCTACACAACACATATTGTATACTTCATCCTTGATCTTTAGTTCCTCTGTTGAAATGCAAAAGCCATGTGGAAAGCCAGAGTTTAGGACCATGAGAGTTTAGTTGCACTAATAGGCTTTTTCCCCTTTGGGTAGAACTTATCTGGAATGTCAGCATGAATTAGGTGGAGAGAACATACCAGCTTGTTTGAATTACTGTGTTTTTTTTTCTATTGATAGTAATAATTTAAATCTACAATGGCAATTTTAGAGTTAATTTCTTTTGTAAGATACATCTTATCTATCATGTTAAAAATTTTACAGGATCTTTATGATTTTAATAAGCATATGTCAGAATACTTGAGACATACAGCAGAAAGGTAGTCAGCCACTAATGATGTATAGGAGACAAGACCACGCTGTTTAGGTTACATTTGTCTAGAAGGTCTTTAGCCTGCTTTCCATTGGAGGGTGTCCTTAGGAAAGCTCCATGAGCCTTCAGGCATTTGAAGCATCCTTCAAAAATTAGGAGTGCTGTTAGTTATTGAGCCCACGTTTTATAACAAATTCTGTATCCCTAAACTGTTACTTTTAGGTCTTTGGAAATGGAATGATATCTGAACCCTTAGTGTCAACCCTTAGTGTTTTAAATAAAATATACTCTGAAAAGACAAAGACAATAGAAATCATTTTATTGGATTCTGTTGTCTCATTTTTGGCACATTTTTATGGAACTCTTTCCTTCTTTTTATTCTGTTTTCTTTTGAATTACTAGGGATTGCACACAGGGCCAAATGCATGCTAAGCAAGCACTCTCCACCAAGATAAATCTCCGGGCCCTTTATAGAAAATGATCTTAATTCCTCAAATGCCTCCCATGAATTTATCTTGTTTTGATTTCCTGTGTTTCTAACCAGGCTTTTTCCTTAAACAATTTCCATTAGTTTTTCCCCCTTTCTCCTGTTCTCCAGTCTCTTGATTGTTTGTTACTAGTTTTCACTAGTTCAGAAAGAGCCCAGCCTTGCCTGGTTACCAGTGTATGGTTTTGTTATGTATTTCACATTTTAGCAACAAACCCTGGGAAAATTGCATTCCTATTAAATTATATATTTTGAATTGTACAATGAATATGTGAGAAATTTCCCTTATATTTGAAGAGAGCAATATGTGGTTAGGACAAAATGATGGCTTCCCCTTATTCTATTTAGCAGGGATTTTTTTTTCCAGTTATACATACATTTTAGTATGTTTCTGTTTTCCAACTTTTGAAGTTCCTGTATTCCTTAATAGGAAAAAAGCCCCATATATTTTAACTTAATTAACAAATTATTTTACATATCTGAGATAACACAGCAAATTGGTGGCATCTAGTTATTTTATTGTTTTAATGAAGAAACACAGTAATCTCATCAACAGTGATGGGAGAGAAGAATCTGACGATTATTGTCATATCTTGCATTTTGAGAGAAAGATGTCAGTAGCACTGAATTATTATCAATACTTCAGATGAAATTTCACTCTCTCCATTTGGCTCTTTAATAATGTCCTCTAAATGGTTAAATTAAAACATAGTTCTCTTGGGATGGCTTCTGTTTCCAGTAAAGACCCCATATGCTCATTCTCACATTTTATCAAAAGCATCCTATCTGACACTATGATACAATGTTTATTTTAATGATGTTGGTTTGTTTTCCCACTGCACACATAGATATGTACAGTGTTTATTTGAAGTTGGATATTGAAATTGAGCTGATTTCCGCCACAACTGTAGTGCTGTCAGGGGAAAAGTTCTCACCTTTTGAAAAGTTACTTTCCTGCTGCTCCAAGTGTCATGGCCCTAGGAATCTCATTAGACTCCTACCTCTCTGCATGGTACCAAAGAGCTTCATGCCTTTGTTTTTGTTTTATTTCCCTTAAAAAAGACTGCTGTGAATGTTCTCTGCCTCTCTGTCTCTTTCTCTCTCCCCCTCTCCCTCCCTCTATTTCTTCTTCCTTCTATCCCTTCCTTCCTTTTTACACCTGGAGATAAATGCTTTAAAGAATAAATAAACTTGATGGGCATGGGGCACATGCATCTGATCCCTTATTTTGGGAGATGGAGGGAAAAGTATTATAAGCACAAGACCAGCCTGGGAAACCCTGTCTCCTAACACTAAGGACTGTGGTGTAGCTGAGTGGCTGAGCTCTGCTCTGCATGCATATGACTTTGGGTTCTAATCCCAGCACTGCAAAAATAAGAGAAAATGGTGAGTTTGAGGCACAGTCTCCAGTATCTGTCTTCTATTTCCCTTATCTCCTGAGATGAGAACTCTCCTGATAAACATTCGATGAGACTTGAGATCAGACTTAACCTATACAAAGACCTGTTATTTACATCTTCATAGTGTTATGCTTCTGTGTTATGCTGTTACAGGAACAAATAGTCACCAGAGAAAATAATCTAAAAATAGTCTTATGTGATAATTAAAATAACCTGTTCAATCAGTGATTCTCAACCTAGGTCAGCTCTGGGGTTGGTAAACCACTACTTGCTGGCAAAATTTCAGTCTTCTCCCTACTTTTTGTTGAAACATATCTCATTTGCTTATATCTTGTCTATTTCATACTATAAAGTACTGCTAACATCCTCTTTCCCTTCCCATAAATCCTAACCTGCTGACAAGCACTTTAGAGAAACATTCATCTACTCCTTATTTAGGTGAGCATCGAATAGCCTGAAGATTCCTGGACTACTCCTGTATTCCTGTCTGCCCAAACTGATAATTGTGGGGCTCAGTTGTATCAGTGATCATTGGATTAAATGTTCACAGCTTGATAATTCTTAAGTATATCTCAATGGTTAGACTGAAGAGGGCATGTTGAACCTTTATTTCATAGTTATACCCAATGTAGGAGGTATAGATCTTTAGGCAGGAGGAGTTAATGATTCACATTGCCAAATATGATTGTTAGGCATATACTTGAGAAAACTTACATATAATAGAAGCATGAACACATAAAACACTTAAAAAACCTGTCTTTATTATTAATTATTAATCTAGATTCATCACTTAATAATTATTAAGTATTCCAATGGTGAGAGGAGGGGAGACAGGCCTGGAAGCACATGCCTTTAATTCTATACTCAGGGGAAGGGGGAATCTCTAAGTTTGAGGTCAGCCTGGTCTACAAAGTGAGTTCCAGGCTAGCCAGCTACAAAATGAGTCCCTGTATCAAAAAATGAAGACTCCAGAGGCTCTTTATCAAATTCTTGTTCTGTTTGTTTCTAATGGTGTCACTCTGTTGAATGAATCTTACTGTGTGAATTAATTTCTTCCTTTGATAAAAATAGCATTTTATTTCAATAAGATTATTTATAAGGATATGAAATGGACCACATGCATAATTTTATAAGTCAAGGGCTGGATATAGTAGGAAAAGAGTTTGATCTGACTGAATGGAGCCAGTTGGAGGTAATTGCCAATCTATGTAGAGACACGATCTTCTGTTACAAAATATTGGAAATAATTTTAGCACAGTGTAGTGTATGAATGAACACTTTTGTTGTTCTCCTTGACTTCTATTCCAACATAGTGGCAGCAACCTTATTATCTTCCCTACATTAAAAAATTTTGATAGGAAAGCTCAACCTATTAAAAGTTGTAAATTCATTTTAAAATGCTTTAAAAAAATCTTAACCACTGTCTAATTGATTAATTGGCAATGTCAATTCAAGAATTTCCCTCCCTATTAGCTTTTCCAAGTTGTATATTTTAAAAAGAAAGTAAAAAATTCAGTATGTTAAATATTTTAACTATTAAAAACATCATCTCTCTGCTTAATCTAAATAAGGTTTTCATCATGTAGGAACATCAACATTAATAAAAACTTAGTTGTTTGAATTGTTGCTATTAATTGTCAGAGGTTCATATTGATTATTTGTATCTTTTAGTTGAACATGGTCCTGAACGAACAGAGAGCCAAGATCACAGCAAAGGCCATTCTTTCTATGACACCAGAGGAATACTGGAAGTCACGAGAAGATGTAAGGAACTCATTTTGCTAAGGATATCGAAATGAAAATGTACATGATTTTGAAATTAACAGAAATTTTAGCTTGAGTATTAGGTTAATTCGACTCTTGTTCATTCTTAAAAGCTGAGAGCAGAAAAAAAAAGCTGTTCAAAACTGGTAATTATTTTATTGGTGTAGATTCCCTGAAAGATAATATATGCCTGCAAGAACAGTCATGATTTTCTGAAAAATCATGAATATTTCCCCCAAAAGTTTACAAGTTATTACATAATACTTAAACACCCTGCATTGGAAAGTGTGAGTTTTTGAATTTTTGATAACTCTAAATTTTATTTTTATTAACTAACATCTAAGGAGAGAATTCTTGCTCAGAATTTTAGAAATGCTAACGAAGTTATCGTCTATCAAGGGAAAGTCGTAGTTTACAAATGTCAAACCTAAAAGAGCTAATCATCAGATTCTGCCGGCAATATTGTAATGAAGAACTATTAAATCAGACCTCCTCTCCAAAGCCCATGCTGGGAAGTTGACAGCGTATTCCATAAATGAAATAATAACACAAAATTGGTGCCAGACAAAGGAGGAAAATGATTTTCATGTCGCTTCCTGGAATGCAAAACCATTTCATCTTTGAGAGAAGTGGGCATGGATTTGCTAGTCTCTTGTGTACTACACTGTGAAAAATAAATTTATAACCAACTGAAAGGATAAGATTATGTATACATTTAAAGAATAAACTTTCTGCATAAATTTAACCAATTTGAACATAAGTAATCTATCTAAAGTTTAAGGTTTTAGTATTATTTTAATCTTAATGACTGTCATTCTTTCTGACTACATATTTTATAACATGATCAAAAGGTGTATCAAATTTTCTGCATGAATTCAACTCTTAGGTGAAAATGTGGTACTATTAAGGACATATAGTTTCAGTATTAGTAGTATTGTAAGAATTGATTATAATACTCCATAGGGAATATTTTACAAAACATAAACATGACTGTTTCCTAAAACACAATGAGTAACAGCTGTATAGATTTAAGTTATAATTTTGGCTCTTTCCACTGAATAGTTATAAGGTAGGTAGCTAGGTAGCTAGTTATAAAAATTATTCTTTGTACTGAGGGTTTTGTGTGTCAACTTGACACAAGCTAGAATTATCAGAGAAGAAGGAACCCTACTTGAGGAAATGTTTCCATGAGGTCCAGCTATAAGGCATTTTCTCAATTAGTGATCAATGAGGGAGGGCTTATCCCATGGTGGGTGGTTCCATCCTTGGGCTGGTGATCCTGGGTTCTATATGAAAGCAGGCTGAGCAAGCCATGGAAAGCAAGCCAGTAGGCAGCTCCCCTCCATAGCCTCTGCATAAGATCCTGCCTCCAGGTTCTGGCCCTGCTTGTGTTCCTGTCCTGACTTCCTACAATGATGGCCTATGATCTGGAAACATAAGCCGAAGAAACCCTTTACTCCCCAACTTGCTTTTTGGTTGTGATGTTTCATCACAGCAATAGAAACCCTAACTAAGACATCCCTCTACATGTTTTACATATCTTTAACCAGAGTTGGAGAGATTATAATCTAAAGTAATGGCAGATTGTTTTCTTAGGTATAGTTATGCTTGCTGTTTGACTTACATGTTTAATTATTGTATGTGTGTGCATCTTAGAGGTGTGAGTAATGTACATGTCCATGACATGTGTATGGAAGTTAAAGGAACAACCTTCAGTATTGGTCCTCACATTCCACCTTGTTAGAGAATAGTCTTTACAGTTTGCTACTTGTATATATACATCGGTTAACATGCATGTTTCTGGGGGTACTGAGATTACAGATGCAGTATCATGCCTGACTTAACTGTAGATATATACTTAGATTGCCATGCTTGCATAACAAGTGCTTTCCGAACTGATCCATCTCTTTAGTCTTCCCTTTGCTACTTTATATAAAATTATAATTTCCCCGCAACTGAAAATTTAGTGGTCAAGGAAAATGATCATTATTATAGACATATAAAGTATAATGGGAATTTAATAATTTCGCAAAGGCATAATAATACTTACATTTATTTGGTATTGCTTTTATTAGCTTAATTTGTTAACTATGAAAGTAGTGGGTTTCATTGTGATATTTTTACACATGCATATTGCTGTTCTTATTGGCAGTTTTATATTTATTTAACACTATTTGCTTCAATGTTCTTTCAAAACAACTTCAATTAGTTGCATATTTAATTTATCAGGTGCAACTCAAAAATGTTTTGTTGTTCTTGTTGATGGTGGTGGTGGTGTTGTTTAAAAAATTGAACACATGGGTAATTGCTAAACGATTGCTTGTTTAGATGTGTAAATTCCAGTGTTCGGGTTAGCAAAAGTGAAGTCAAATTTTAGCTGTAGTTCATACACATTTAGAGAAGCAAAATCCTAATGGAAAAGGGAAGTGAGAAAATTTAAGGGAAATTACTTCAATTTTTGTTCTAAGCTTAGTTCTCCTTTATTTTGATGGTGCTGGGCTTGAACTTATGGCTTTATGCACTCCAGGTAAGTGCTCCACTGCTGAGCCACAGCCACAGCCCCACAGCTTTTGTTTCCACAAATATGAAATTCTATGACTATTTTTAAAACCATGATTAAATGTCATAAAATCTCAGGTTGTGCTCCTGTTCTGATACCTGGGCTTTTTTTTTTTTTTTTTTTTTTTTTTTTTTTTTTAATGAGTTTCCATTCCACAAATACTGGAAACAGTAATTACACAAAAGTTACTTTGATTCAAATGTGTATTAAAGTTCTTCTTTGCAAATTTGTAAGTCATTATTGTCAGTTTAAAGGTGTGGTATTCAGGTTATCTGAAAAATAGATACCAGCATTGGGTTAACTCTGCATGGCAGTAAGACTGGGTGGAAGCACTCATCCCATTGTGGAAACAAGACATAGTTAGCCATTGTTCCCAGGTGTCAACTTGGTAAGAGTGTTCCAAGTATGACAAGCAGAGTCTTTAGTGAGCTATACTCTATAGAGTTCTGTAAAGAACAGCTATGAAGCTGCCTCAAGATGTGGCTCTTATCAATGTCATTGCCATCAACCCTTCCCCAAACAGCTGGGCTGGGAAGACATTTAAAATGGCTCCATTTTCAATGGTCTCTCCCATATCAGTAGATGGGGTGTCAGATTATAAAGCCATCACATAGGGAAGCAAGGTAGATCTTCCCACCTGAGGAAACTTGTAGGAAAGTGTGACAATTTGGCAGTCAGTACAGTGCGATGAGAGATGTCACATATATCAGATTTCCAGTGGTTACACTGTAGCTCAGCTTCAAAGATACTTAGCTTTCTTTCAGCTCTCCTGATTTTTCTAGTCTTTTTTTTTTTATTAATTCAAGATTCTACTCTCCTTTTAACCTATGAAAACAATATATTTGTAGGCAAAACAATGGAGAGCTTTAGGAAGGTTAAAAAATGTTCATTGGAATGTGTTCCTGTTCTGGCTCATTTAAAATAGGCTATTAAAACTTGTCCTTTTATGTATGTATGCATACATATGCTTGCTGATGGGGGGGGGCTATTGCATGGTGCATATGTAGAAGTCAGGTGACAACTTTCAAGTTTCCACTATGTAGGTCCTGGTGATCAAGTGTTGATCATGAGGCTTGGTGGTAAGTGCCTTACGCCTGCTGAGCCATCCTGCAGGGCCCCTCCATTCTTTCTCATACTGCATCGCCAGACTGGCTTGGAACTCACTGTGTACTCCACAGAGGTCTTAAACCCTCCCGCCTCAGCCTCCCAAGTATTTACAAGTTTGAATCACCACACTTGTCTACAAAGTTGTGGTTGAGTTAACAGGCTTTCCTTGCTTTGAGACCATCCTGTGTATTTCCGTGGTGTCCTTATTTCGAGAATAGAGACAACTATTCTATGTGATGACTTCAAATGGTATTCTGTACAAAGTGCTCTGGAGTTCTCAATAACATGGCTGGATTCAAAGCCACAGAGAACTCAGCCCAATGGCTGAAGCCACTACAAAAACCAGGAGTTCTTTAGACTTGTTCCTGGCAGCAGACAGGCAATATTTAGCAATGTGTAGCTCACAATAGACAACTTTAATATGTAAAATCTATAAAAAAATATATAAAGAGGCTAATATATTGTGCTGACTACCCATCTTGAGAATGTAATTGAATACAAGAATTGAATGCATGCATCATAGAGATGTGGTCCAACATCCCTCCACACTCTCTAAAACCCGTGTGCATATTTATAGCAGTGTGCACGCTCACCTTATTTCAGAAGTTCGTTTATTTCCTCAGCAGAATATTTAATTTTTGTTTGGTACCTTCTGTTCATTTGTTACACTCCCAGACTCTGTACAAGTGTCACTTCCGTGCTCTATTGCCATGGAGCATGAGGAGTGGAACGAGTAGCTTTCTGCTGCACAATGAGATGGTGCGCTTTTTCAGCATATGCATGCGTAAGCCTTCTTTTGTGAATGGGACCGATAGGGTCAGATAATGTTTAAAGGGAAAGGTTTTATGTCTCTCAGGCTTCTATGTTTCCACATGGATGCTCACACACACACATAGATTGAATTATGAACAGACCCATTAATGCTGGGATCACAAAAGGTCAAGTTTTGTCTTCTTTTACCCCCATTCAGATTGCTTTTGTAGAGAGAAAAAAAGGATTTGCAGGGAGAGAAAGATTTATGATAAAGAATTTTTTTTTTAAAGAACAGTTCTCTCCTTTTAACAACATCTTTGATTTGGAAAAAGATCATATTATGTAAAATAATTCAATAATATTGTATCATCTGCCTGAAGTTGGTGTGAGTTAGTTCATGTGTATAGTTACATTTAAGGACAACATGTTATCATAATAATTGAGAACAAACATAGCACTTTGAAGATAAAAGGCCATATGAATATGTAAAGTAACAAAGTTTGAGCAAAACTGAATGGAAGTATTATAAAAACATCATTGGCAGGATTTTTAACCAATTCTCTCCTTTAAGATGTAATTTAGTATTTGCTCAGACATATAACATTTAAGTTTTGAATTAAGAAAACAACTAATAGTTTGTGTCATTGTGTCTCACACACATTGACAAATAATCCAATGGAAGCAGTAAAAAAAAAAAAAAAAAGTAATGGAGAAACATTTGAAAGGACAAAGACTTTATCCCCAATGAAAAATTTAAGACTTTAACCAATAGCTCTTTAGAGAGTAAATGACATCAGCTATTGCATGGTTGGTTGATTTCCGATGTCACATGGAATCCCTTATCAGTTAAAGTGTATGCATCGTGACAGTAAAACCATTCGTGCATAAAAATGTCCTAAATCAAAGCCTGGGATCTTCCTTCTTTCTCCTTTGGGTTTGTGCTAGTGGCGTCCTCTACCATGTGGTGAAGTACATCAAACTGAAGAGACCAGTATTTGCCAGAAAGGTACATTACATGATACAAACATTAAATGCTACATCAAATCCTATCTTCCCAAATCACATGACCTCAGGAATGGATTCAGAGAGCTGTTGTACTTTCCAGTGAGCCATTGTGTTTAGGGCCCTTGCTTCATCAAATACCCAGAAGAGCAGGCCACCTGGACTGTTTGGCGTTTGGCTTAGGTATGTTGTTGGTATCATCTATCACTTTGAGGATAATACTTGTGTGGGATAAAATATCACGAACAAGGTAAAGCAGAAGCACTGCCTTGCACTGGATTATTTGGAGTTTTGTTTGTTTGTTTGTTTTGTTTTGTTTTGTTTTTAAAGTCACAACTTAATAGAAATAACTGTGTTGTATGTAGTGCAGAAATCCATTCTGGAAGGACAGGCTTTTAGAGGAGACTCCCATGGGACTTTTAGCTTAAAAACAATATTGTCTTCATTTTCTTTCTTCCTTTGTTATTTTCCCCTAATCACTTTCTTCCTTTGTTTTCTTTTCTTTTCCATGTCATCATTTTTACATTACATTTTTTTCTATTTTCTTCTACTGAGACTCCTCCCATCATTTTTTCAAACCTTCTCCACTGCCTCATATACATGTGGTTTTTAAACCTATATCCAAGTTCCTTTATCTAGCCATGAGGGCTCATTTATGGATACTTAAGAGGACTTGGCACAGACTGTTACTGCCACTAAGAGCTGTCCATCACTAGTGAGTTATACATGGTTGAAAATATTTAATAGAGAATGGTAAATTAATCAATTTTTAGTAAAATTGTCCAAGCCTAAATCCCAGTGACTTGACACAGTATATATTATACACTGTCAACTTATTAACACAAAGTATATATTATGTATTATCCACTTGTACATTAGCTGTGGGTTATTAGTGGCCCTCCTCAGTATGTCTTTCCTAGGCTGCGAAAGAAGATGAAGGAAGAGCTTCTACTGCAGTACTGGGGCATTAGCATCAGTGGCAAAGACCAGTGATGGAAGTACTATTGGCCCTTAGGATGGTGCTGAGCAGTGCCAGTTGCGACTTCTACATTGACCAAGGCACATCACATGGGGGAATATGACACCACAAGTACACCTGTGAGAAAGGCCTGATGCTTCCTCTTGTTAATTTCTGCTAATTCTCTGAACAAACTTTACTGGCAACTGGCGACTCTCAACCTTCCTAATGCTGCAACCCTTCAATATGATTTCTCAAGTTTTGTGACCCCAGCCATGAAATTTTAATATATATATATATATATATATATATATATATATATATATATACACATATATATATATATGTGTGTATGCTTATGTATGCACACAGATATATAACAATAATAGACAAATAAAAAGAATCCATCAACTTTTGAGTTAGAGGGGAAGGAGGAGGGATTTAGAGGATGGTAGTTGGGAAAGGATGGAGGAGAAAAGACAGGGGAGAATGTGGCATAATGCTATTTTAATTTTTAAAAAAATTAAGAAAAAAAGCAAATGTTGGTGAAGCTGAAAAGAAAATAGAATGTTTATCCATTCCTGTTGGGATTGCAAAACAATCCACCACACTGGAATTCAATATGGAGACTCGCCAGAGCAACTGCAAATAGAACTGCCATATGAGCCAGCTATGCCATTTGTTCAAAGAAATCTAAGTTGTCAAGTCACAGACACACTTTCACATCAGTGATTTTTGCAGGAGTAGTCACGACAGCTAAGTTACAGAACCAATGTAAGTGTCCATTAACAGACACTTACATATATATATATGCATATATATATGTGTGTATATATATATATATATATATAGTGGAATTGTATTCATCCATAAAGAACAAAATTATGTAATTTTCAGAAGAAAAACGGATTCAGCTAGAGATTGCCATATGGGCTGGCTAGGTTTTTTTTGGGGGGGGTTCTTTTTCTTTTCTTTTCTTTTTTGGTCAGTTTGATACAAGCTAGGGTCATCTAAATATGGCACTAGGGAATTGTACAGAGATCCACAAGGATGTCCCCAACTAGGAATCTAAGCAATAGTGGAGAGGCTACCTTAAATGCCCTTCCCCTATAATGAGATTGGTGACTACATTAAATGCCATCCTAGAGCCTTCATCAAGTAGCTGATGGAAGCAGAAGCAGACACCCACAGCTAAGCACTGAACAGAATTCCTGGAATCCAGTTTCAGAGAGGAAGGAGTGATGAACAAAGGGCACAAGACCACCCTGGGAAAAACCACAGAAACTGCAAACCTGAACAAGCGGGAACTCATAGACCCTAGTCTGACATATGAGGAACCAACATAGAACCAAACCAGAGCCCATGAACGTTTCAGCAAGGAGGACTGGGCAGTCCATGGGACCTCTGGCTGTGGAACCATATGTATCTATCCCTAGTGCATGAATGGACTTTGGGAGCCCATTCCCTATGGAGGGATACTTTCAGCCTATATACATGGGGGAGGGCCTAGGCCCTACTCCAAATAACATGACAGATTTTGATGATCCCTCATGGAATGTCTCACCCTCTCTGGGGAGTGGGTGGGGGATGGAATGGGAGACCAGTGGGGGCCATGGGAGTGTGGGAGGGAGAGGAAACTGGGATTAATATGTAAAATACAATGATTTATAAATATATAATATATATTTATAAATACATGCATATATTTATATATAACCCACTGTAGGTGTTACCACCCCTAAGCAGATGGTCAACAAGCCAGTTAACATTGCTCCTCCATGGCTTCTGTTTCAGTTCCTATCTCCAGGTTTCTGTCTTGAATTTCTGCCCTGTCTTCCTTCCACGATGAGCTGTTACCTAAAAATTATGAGATAAAATAAACCTTTTCTGGCGGTCTGGCTTGATCAAACCACATTAGTCTGGAAGGAATCCACAGCTTTCATTTTCTGTGGAAACAAAAACAGAGTACCAGGTGATTCTACACTCAAAACAGCTGGACAAAGCAGCCTTACAGACTACAGCCAGGATTTCTGTATCTTCTTAGAATCCCCCATGACAGCGCCCCTTACCAGCAGGAAGTAGTTTGGAAAGAACGACGCCTAAATTCCCAAATATTGTCTATAAATGTTTGTTTTCATTTAAATGGATTTGGTTATATATATAAAAAATAAACCTTTTCCTCCCCATGTAGATTATTATAAAAATATCTATTAAACTAGATAGTTATTAAATTAAGTCATTTTCACAAAGGCAAACATTAAATTTTTAAAAATTTGTGCATCCCAGATTAATAAAATCATATATGTATGTATACATACATACATACATACATACATACATATATATGAGAGAGAGTGAGAGATTGAAAGAGAGTGAGATGGGACTAGAAGTGAAACCATTGTCCAGGGCAACAAACTGTGATAATGATGGGTGACAAAGAAAAGAAGAGAACTATAGGGAGTTAATCCAAAATTCAGTATATATTTTTATGAAAACACATCTGTCACCTAGTATAATGAATGATTGCCAATAAAATATCAATTACATAGGCAAGGTATTTGTGATTAATCTATGCTTAATTTCTATTCTGTTCCATGGGTTTGTGTCTGGTTTTACTCCTATACCATACTGTTTTAGTAGCTGTAACTTTATGGTATGTTTTTAATTCTGGAACTATGATTGTAATCCAAGTGCTGGGTTGGTAGAGGCAGGTGGATCCTTGGGGGCTCTAAGACCCTTTATCCTAGCTGAATCAGTGACCCTCAGGTCACAGTGAGAGTCTTTGTCTCAAGAATACTAAGATGGTTGACACCTGAGGAAGGACTCTCAAGGGTGAACTCTTGTTTGGCCTTCACATACATCCCCATACACATGCATCTACATTTCATGAACACACACGCACACACACACACAGACAGACAGACACACACAAAGTACTACATGATACTTTTGCTCACATGTTATTGATCAAAGCAAATCATTTTTGTGATATATCGTTTTCCAACCCTTCATTCTTCATCAGTGTACTTTTTTAATAGGTGAAGTTTCTTGTGGGCAATATACAATTGCATTTTATTTTTATTATTGTATATATTGTTTATAAATTTAAATCTTTCTACTTTAAACTTTCTTCTCCAAAATTTTTAAATTTCCCTTTTTATTTCTTCAGTGGCCCAATTATCATTCAATAGATTAATTGTTTAATTTTCATAAGTTTATGTACTCCATAAGTTTTAGAGCCACACCTGTTTGTTTCTTAGTTCCATTTGCTTGGAATAACTTTTTCTATCCATTTACTCTAAGATAGTGTCTATCAGTGTTATTAAAGCATGTTTTTTGGAGGCAGAAGAAAGATGAATCATTTTTTTCTCACACAAGTCTGCTATTTTCTATCACTGTGTTGTAGAATCAAGACTGCTAACATTCAGAGTATTGTTGAAAGGTGTACATTAATTCTTGTAATTTTGCTGATCATGTGGTATTTTATTAGACTTCTTTCATTCAGCTGTTCTTGTGTTGCTTATTTATTCCCCATGGCCTCTTAGGTGTGGACATCCTTTTCTTCATACTGAAGTATTCCTTCCAGTAGCCTCTGTAGAGTTGACTTAGTGGTTGTAATCCTCTAGTCTGTTTTTAATCACTGAAGATTTTTACTTCTTCAGTTTTAATGGATAGCTTTATTGGTGAACAGTATTTATGATTTATGAAAGCTTGTCTGAGGGTACAGAAAGCAAAGCTAGCCATAAGGTATAGAGCCAGGCAGAAGTGGCACAAACCTTTAATCCCAGGACTCGAGAAACAAGCAGATGGATTTCTGTGAATTCGAGGCCACACTGAGCTACATGAAATTGATCCAGTCTGAAAGAGAAACATTTCCATACAATGGTGATCTCAGCACTTGGAATCACATGCCTTTAATCCCAGGCTTTGAGAAGTATAAAAGGAAAAAGCAAAGGGCCTAATGAAAGATTAGTCTCCAACAACATCGAGGAGAGGCAGCAGTCTAGGACTGCAGTCTGAAGATTCATGGAGCTAGCCTGATCACCATTTCAGTCTTAGGTAGAGTTAGCAGCTAATGACTTGCTGCTTTGCTTATCTGACCATTAACTTGAACCCCGATATCTATCTCTAGGTTTTTATTAATCTTGTTACAAACACATTATCAGGCTTTAAATATTTCTGTAAAATAATCAGGTGATAGAAGATATCATTCTGTAAATATGTTTCTCTTACTGGTTAATGAATAAAGTACTGTTGGCAAATAGGAAGGCAAGATAGGATAGACTACGCAACAAGGAGGGTTCTGGGAGAGGTAGTAAAGAGGAATCACGAAGTAAGAGGTCCAGACCTTTCTCTGGTAAGATAAGACCAAGTGGAAACACTTAGATTGATAGAAATGGGTTAATATTTAAGACAGAGGTAGCCAATAAGAAATTCTAGTAATAGGCCAACAGCTTTATATCTAATGTAGCATCTCTGTGTGTTATCATTGGGCTGATGTGGCTCTGGGACCAGGCTGGCAGGAAAGTATAACCTATAACAATCAGGTGATAATTTTATCAGCCTGTCTTTGTAAGTGATTTCACATTTCTTTCCTGTCATTATCAATACCCTTTCTTTTTTATAAATACCCTTCCTTTTCCCCATATTTTATTGCTATAGTGTGAGATATTTCTTTTATGACATTGTTTATTTGTTCTTTAAGCTTGTTATTGTTGAATGGGCACCTTTCTGGATGTTTGGAAAACATCCTGTGATTTTATCAAAATGTTTTGTATGTCTTTGATATGCTATTTTTCGCATTCTATTTCTGTAATCCAAAAGTTATGGTTTTTCATAGTGTTTTAGAGTTCTGCCATAACTGTTCATGTATTTTCCATTTAAATTTTTTCATACACTGTATTTTAATCATGTTTTCCCCTCTTACACCTCTCCTAGTTCCTTCCCACCTCCCCCACAAACCTAACTATTTTTATCTTTCTTTCAAAAATAACCTAAAATCAAAATAAACAAAAATATCAAAATATAAAAGAAAGATTAAAAACAAACAAAAAACACAAATGTCCAAATAAACCCTTTCTCTCTCTCTCTCTCTCTCTCTCTCTCTCTCTCTCTCTCACACACACACACACACACACACACACACACACACACACACACATACACAAAATGCCATTAGAAGCATTGAGTTTATTTTGTGTTGGTCTGCTTCTCTGGGGTATAAGACATGCTGTAGAGTGTGGTTAATATACCTGGTGATACTCCATTGAAGAAAATGGATTTTCCCTTTGCCAGCAGCTATCAGTTCTAAATAGCTTCTTGGTTAGGGTTGGGAACCCATGTCTACTTCCATACTCAGTGCTGGGACCCCATCTGACATGAACCTGTGTAGGTCTTATATGTGCTGCCACAGTCTGTGTGGATTCTTATGTGCAGCAACCCTGTGATGTCTGGAAAACACATCAGCCCTTTCTGGTTCTTAAAATCTTTCTACTTCCTCTTCTACATAGATACCTGCACCTTGAGAGTAGGTATTTGATGAAGACATTGCATTTAGGACTGAGTGCCCCCCAAGGTCTCTTTCAGTCTCTGTATGTTGTACAGTTGTGAATCTCTGTGTTAGGTATCATCTATTGCAAGAAGATTTTTGGATAATGGCTAAGTGATGCACTGACCTATCAATATACCAATATGTCATTAGGAGTCTTTTTCTTTTTGCTATGTTTCTTTATTATAATAGTAGGTTTTCTTGTAGGTGCATGACCTATCTGGTCTTATGTTCTTGGCCACTTTAACAGGGGAAGGTATAGGTTCCATCTCATTGAGTGGTCCTTATTCCAATTAAGAAAATGTTTGTTTATTCCCATAATATTTATGCCTCTGCTACTCCAGTACACCTTGCAGGCAGGTTGCTATTATAAGTTGCAGAGTTTGTAACTGGGTGATATTGGTGGTTATCTTTCTTCTCTGATAACATGCACAGTGGCTTTCCAGCACCATGCCAGTCAGTAGGAGTGAAGATTCTAGTTGTGCATAAGCTTGACTTCTCCATGTTTGATTGCATAAGTAAATGTTGTCTTTAGCAATAGGGTCTTACCATCAGCTTGTGTGTAATAGCTTTACCATTGGCCTTTACTGAATGACCCAATCTCTCTACCTAGTCTTCCAGCCTTGACACTCTGTTTTCCACATGACCCATTCTGTTGATGTGGCTTTTCACTGAGAGTTTAATTTAGTTCATTGAACTGCCATATAACCCAGTTATACTGGTTATGGATAATTTCCCAAAGGACAGAACGAACAAGGAAACAAACAAGTGTAGTCATTTTTAATTAGCAAACTATATAATTATGAAATTAATTTGTTATTTCTAAGTCCCCAGGGAATATCATTAATAATAGATGAGTAAAGGTCATATGTCTTTCCTAACCCCACTGATTAATAGTCTAGAAATACAAACCTCAAAGATATGTGTGTTTTAAGCTTTTCTTAATTTTGGAAAAATGTTATGCTTCATTTAGAATGCTGTCTATGCAGGAAATATATTTTAAAGCTCTGAAAAATCTTAATGAATTTAATATATAAATTGACACTTTAATTCAATGTGCGGTGGAGTAAAATAGCCTTAAAAAAGGTACACATATAAGCTGAAATATGGCAACTGGTTACATAACAATGAATTTCAAAGTTCAAGGAAGGTTTTATTTTGTTAAGTATTTTGTTTATTTTCTTCGTCTATATTTTTTCTTCCTTTATTGAAACAGGGACTTATGTAGTCCTGGTTGCCCTGGAATTCATTATGGAAAAAGGCTGACGTCAACATAGCCTACCTCTTTCTTCTGAGTGTCATCATACTGGGCCTATTAAGCAGTTTAAGTGTTTTGCATTCTTAGATCTATAGGCTTTTTTTTAAAAAAAAAAAAAAAAAAATATATATATATATATATATATATATATATTTTTAGTTAGTTTTCATTCAGCAATTTAAAATGGCTACTTTTACTTTGTGCACTTACACACACACACACACACACACATCACGTTTTCTACAAACAAAAAGTGGATAATAGAGATAGATATGTTTGTCCCTTGTATTCCCTTTACCTGATGGTAGAGCCGTACTTAAATTCTTGAATTGAAGTCATTTTCTCCTATCAGGCTAGGTACTCAAAAATCTAATAGGTGTGACATCAACAATTACTTCTTGCTAACAACTCTTGTAATTTAACCCCTTCAGGTGAGCATGCTGATTGATGAATTGCAGACAGCTATCAAAAGCAACAGAGGTCATCTCGCTAAGCTTGGCCCCCAATTACAGGCTGAACAGGAGCAGTTCTCCTCTTATGTCTGCCAACACATTAAGAGTCTTCCAGAAAACACCGTGGTCCCAGGAGGACTGCATCTCAAGGTGGGTGTCACTCTGTGACTCTCACTGGATCCAAGCAGAGACAGACACATTCTATCCTATTGAAGATCGGTGTAACACTGTCCTCAACAGGGAAGTTTGACCTGTAAAGCATAAGAATACTGTTCAGAAAATAGGTCTTAATGGAAATAACTATGCATCTTTAAAATGGAGGTTTATAAAACTTAGCATGCAATACAGAAAAGTAAGTTTAATGAACTTCAGTGAGTGAACATTTGCATACTTCTCAAAGAAATAAAAATACTGTGTAGGTTTTATTTTTAAAAAACAACACATTTGGAAAATGGACAAGCTTTAATAGTTGACAGACAGTGACAATAAGAATCAGAGGTGAAAAGGCTGGGTGACTGATTGATGTTCAAGCTACATTTCCAGGGGAAAAAAGGTATGTATTGGATAAGTGTGACATATGTCTGAGTTCACTTGGTAAAATCAATACTTAAGAATATACTGAGGGGGAAAGGTGAATTGGTTATTTGTCAGGACAAGATGGCTAAATGTCTTAGGCTACTCTGCTATTACAGTGTTAGGTGAGAAAAAGAATAATCCACCTTGGCTAAAGCAGATGAAAAACCAAAAGGAAATATTGTCGGGAGCGGTCTACAGCTGAGCAGCCTCAAGTCTGTACCTGAGTGGGGGAGTGTGGATGAGGGGAAAGGCTTGCTATAGACAATAAAGAAAAGAGAGACAGAATAAAGGTCAGGAGGGCTGATCAGTCAGTACTGAAATGCCATGAGTTTATTTTCACCACTATTATATATCTTAACCAAAAAGGGGAACACTGTATCATGTATATGGAACAAACAGACTTTTCTTCCGCACTTATTCTGAGGATTCAGTTAGCACAACTTACCTCCAACATCTTGTTCCCTAGCCTTGAGGTCAGGAGTAGACACACCTCAGATTCAACTTCTCCTTCCCTAGCCTTGAGAGTCAGGAGTAGACACACCTCAGATTCAGGTCTGTTGTTATTTAAACTAAGACAGCCAAAACATCCTTCTGTAGCTTCACCTTTGACCTTTAGGTCTTATGACTTGCTGACACCTTGAACACTGTGCCCTTGTGCCAAGATGGAGTGCAGCCATCTTTATGGGCACCCACAGAATGTAAAGATTTTTATATTCATAGTAGAATATCCATGCCACCTCGGTCACACTGAATTTCAGTTAAGTTACAGTTCTGTAACTTCATAGTTCACATCTCAAAGACCTCTGATTATAGAAATCAGCATTACTCAGTGTGGCCCTTTCTATGTGAAGAGGAGTGTTTGGAGAACTCCACTGTCTTTCACCATTTTCATGGGGATGTGATAATATTCACAGTTGACTTCTGCTCATCCTCCATCTTGCACTTCATCCTTTGAATATAGTTTTAGCTACAAACAGCATGGAAGCTTGAGGTGACATTCTCATGGATTCATTTTAAATGAGAATATACCATTAAAAATCGACTTTTTTGGGAAATGTGACTCAATCTTAAACACATTGTTTATGCCACTCAGAAAAAGGTGTTGAAGACAAGGGTTCCCACAGACAAGTAATGTTGTTCTTCTTACATTTTTGGCTTGGTTGTGGACCAATCTGCAAAAATACTTGCTATTGACTAAGTGATAAATCAGGCAAGGGATTTTGGTCTCTTTAATGACATCTGTGCCCACTTCTTTTAATCTACTACTGTATTGACTGTAGTGCCGCTGGGAACATAACTTTTTTCCCTCATGAATTCATTGTTAATTCTGAAGAATTTCTATCATATTAGCATATTATCTTGACAGTAAAATTTTAATTGCAGACTCTGAACTGTTTCTTTCACATATCCTCCCTTTCAGCATCCTTCAAAATTCTTTCCACACCAGCAAATAGGAAATTTATAAGCAAAGGAAACATGTTGTATAATATTTGTAAGTACCTGCTGTGCTATCTAATACAGTAGCTACAATCTGCATGAAGCTATTAAAATCAGTCAAATAAAGCACACAACACCTTCACCGGTGTGTTATAGACTTTCTAGGCTTTAACACTGACAGAATGGTTAGATACCCTATCCAGAATTCTCTTCCACCTGAGTCATGCTTTGATACCCCCACACCCCACTCCAGGAAGACTGGACATCATATCCCTCTGCCTCTGCTCCATTGAGTTTCCCCATCTGAAACACTAAGTTCGTCTAAAGCATACATTATTCTTCTAAATCCCAAGAGCTCTGAGTATCAGTTCGACTCATTAACCTTTTAGGGTAGTCATTTCCAAATGCTGAATCGAGTTATCTGGAGACTATGTGAGAAACACCAGTGTCCTCCACTCCTGTTGATTTGAGAGGAACTGGTTTAGTGTCCTGAGGGCTGACTTCTAGCAGCTTGTGAAAAACAGTTTAACTGTCAGGTGTTTTGAGAGTCACTGGTTAAATGCAGCCATTATTAAAAAGTATTTATATACATTGAACTCATCCTTGAAAAGATACTAATAATTGCTTCTTTCAAATTATCTGATTACATTTTACTATTGCCTATTCTTTCAGTTATTATTGTGTATTGTGTGTGTGTGTGTGTGTGTGTGTTATGAATTCTCTGAGTGTGCTACAATAAATTTCAACAAATAGGTTTCTTTCAATAGTGACTTGCTTTGACTCAAAACTGACCAGTCAGTGAGCATACACAATCGAAACTGGTAAATGATAAAAATAAGTACTTGAATTAGGTTGGTTAATTGGTTGGTACAGGCCATGGACAAAATCTCCTGTTTTGCTTTAAATACATTTCATTAGAACATATCCGCAACTGTTTGCATACTGCCTATGGCTGCCTCCCTCCCTGGGTTGCATAGATTCTACCTGTATGCAAGAGCTTAGAGGAGAGTCTTTTCTCTGTTAGAAGTGCATGGTGTTTTCAGAAATAGGGTCTTACTTTCAATTTCTGGGCAACATCTTCACAAATGAACTTCTCTAAGTAGTTAGAGAATAATTAACTTTTCCAAGCCCTAAAAGAGAAGGCACTTTTAAACTCATGTTAGGAAATCAGGCCAACTATGATATCAAGATATAACACAGGCAGCATGGAAAAGAGAATGTATGATGATATAGGACAGTACATGACAATAATATGATGAATACTAATTTTAAAATTCTGTATCATATACAAACAAGACAAGATCAATAGGGCACAAAAATATCAGATACTATAAGCAAATAATGTTTATTCTTGAGATTAAATGATGGCAATATTTGAAAACAATCTGTTACCATGTGTATATAGTATGTTATAAAGAACTAAGAGATAAAAGTCACCTCAAAAGATACAGAAAATCTTGACAACATTCAATATCCACTTGTGATTCAAACCATTCAACAAAATAAACATAGATGCTTACTGTAACACAGTAAAGGCCATATATGAACATCCCACAACTAACCCAACAAGTGAATAGATTTCAAAATATCTTCCCAAAGATCTGATGCCAGGAAAGAGAGACTAACTCTCACCACTTCTATTTGACACTATAAATACTATAAGTACTATAAACCTAGTAAGAGCAATTAGACCCAAAAAGAGATAAATTGCAACTAAATCAGAAAGGGAAAAATAAAATTAACTCTGTTTATAGATGATGTGGTCATAAAAGATAGAAAACCACAAAGAATCCAGAAAAATTCTATTGGAACAAACCAATGAATTCAATAAGTTTCTTGATAAAAAAAAATAATGGGCATTTCTCTATACTATGAACAATGAACAAGCCAATGGGGGAAATTAGAAAGCAATCCCTTTTGCAATAGCAACATAAAAAGCGAAATGCTTAGAAAATTTAACCAAAGAGGCGAAATAACTATATATGCTGAAAATTATAAAACATTGGTAAAGAAATTAAAGATGAATGGGGTAAATAATCTATTTCTTTAAAATGTTCACACTACCCCCAAATCACCCACAGATTCAATGTAATTGCTATCAGAATTCCAAAGACATTCCTTTGAGGTCACCAAAAGGCAACAATACAAGTGACAATTCCACAAGACTCTGAATATCCAAAGCAGTCCTTTTGTTTGTTTGTTTTTTGAGACAGGGTTTCTCTGTGTAGCCCTCACTCAATCTGTAGACCCAGCTAATCTTGAACTCACAGTGATCCACATGCCTCTGCCTCCCAAGTGCTGGGATTAAAGGTGTGCATCACCATACCCAGCTCCCAAAGCAATCTTAAGAAGAAAGAAACTATAGACATCAAGCTTCCTAATATGTTTCAAAATATATTACAAACAGCAAAAAAAAAAAAAAAAAAAAATCCAACAGAGGATTAGTATGTAGAATATATGAACAATTTAAAAACTAATCATTAAAAAAAGATACCCACAAACAACCCAGTCAATGAGCTAATTAAATGAGTAGAAAATTCTCAGAAGGTAAGTACAAATAACCAAAGGACATGAAGAACAGTAACATTGCTACTACCAGAGAAATGCAAATCAAAACCACATAAAGATTCCATCTTACCCCAGGTATGCTACTGTGTGCTATTTACCCCAAAGATCCATGTGTCTCAGTTTACTGCAGCACTATTTGTAGCAGCTAAATTATGGAACCAACCTAGGTTCTATCACAAGAGAAACAATAATGAAAATGTGGCCTATGAATACAACAGGGCTGTTTTCATCATAAAGAAGAATGAAGATGTATCATTTGTAGGAAAATGAATGCAACTCTAAATTAACCTTAGAGGTCAGGCTCAGAAAGAAATTTTATATGCTTTCTCTGATTTGTGGTTCCTAGATCTTGTATAGTCATATATAATCATGCATGTGTATATAAAACAAAAATAGCAATGAGATAGTAAAAAAAACAAAACAGCTAAACAGGAGTGGGTTGAACAAAGGGAAGGGTGGGGACAATGGGTATAGGAAATACATTTAATATATAACATATAACTATACAAAAATAAAATTAAAGTCAGTCAACTGAATAATCCATCACACGTGTCATCTCAATCTAGAAT